TGCGGGTAACTAGGGTGTGTCAGCGAGCTTGTATGTCATGTACGATCCTCTCTCGGCCTTCTTATTTGATTACTCTGACCGTAGCTACATACGAATCTCCCATAGTTACACTTAAACTCGTTTAAAGCATATATTTTTTTTTATAACTACTGAATAAATAGTTAAAATTTTATTATTTTTTTTTCACATTCTAAAATATATATCTTTTAGACAATTTCTTACAAAAAAATTTGATGGAACGACAGTGAAGTATTCATACACCAGTACGAGCTGAACGCACCCTCATTACATACCCACCTACTGAATGTGTTAAAATTATTGTAACTCAATGAGAATTTTTTAAAATCGTTATTAACCCTCAAACTTTTTTAGTTAAAAAAGGACTAACAAGAAATATTTTTAATTTTTGAAAAAAAATTATCGCCTAAATTACGTAGTTGCCAAAATTACTAAAACCAAATGTTTTGCTCAAATGACCACATTTGTTATTAATACATTTTGTTTTAGGCAATAATTTTTTCGATATTTAACTTTATGAACTTATTATAATTTGAAATTTATTCGAAATACTATAATATCAAAAAAAATTGGTCTACTTTCTATGAGTAATTACAATATTATGAAAGTTGTATGAATATAACTATATGCTTTAAAGGGTTAATAAAATAAATTTCGTTATAAACTTTTCATAAAATTTAGTTTTTATTCTAATAGAAAACAATAATGATTAACATAAAATTAATTCTAATAAAATAATTTTATATTTGTCTATTTGAGTTTCTATACCATAAAATAAAATTTAATATTTTGCTGCGTAGTTGTATCGTATTCATTGGTGTAAAATCTTCTCATTAAGAAAGGGTTTTGAGAGGTAAATTATATAAAATAAATTAAAAATTATATCTATGAACATATTCGACAAAGAAAAGTCTTTTTTATCATATACGCTTCTTCGAACCTTCGCTTTCGAAGCTTATGATAAACACATTTCTTGTAAATATGCTCTTATAGATAGCAATTTTTAAGTTCAGGTCCCTTAAAATTTTAAATATTTAATATTTTAATTGTCTCCCTGAAATTTTATGATTTTTCTGTATTGTTATCGGAAATTGGCCCCCTTCAATTGTTTTGGCTAAATTAATCTAGCCCCCTAAAAACTTTTTTTTTTCATAATAAAGAACATTTCATTAACTTTAATTTAATATATATATATATATATATATATATAAGTGTCAGACTATCCGGAACATTTTCAAAAGTCAAGTTGAAAAAATTAATTTTTTGTGAAAAAGTTGTCATTTTCAATCCCCCCCTGTGGACAGGTATAGGGTCAAATATAAAAAAAAAATACACCAAATGATAGGTAAAGACATGCATCTATAAAAAAAAAAATTATATTGATTTGGTTATTTTTAAAAAAGTTATGACTATTTTAATTAAAAAAATTTTTAAAAATTTCGAACATTAGCGTTTTTTAAATTTGTAATTTTTTTGGAGGTTCCCCCATTTACGGGGAACGAAGAATTTTTTTTCAATTTTTGAGGGTAATGTCTTCGACTAGATACGATTTGTAATCTTTTGACGTGTCATTGAAAGAATTCGGTTCGGTGTGAGGTGAGAAAAAGTGGTAACAGACACAAAAAAAAAAAACACATCTTAGTAAAACTTCTCAGCTTCGCATCGAAGCTAAAATAGACTAATGTTTATTATAATTTTATACTTAGAAAACATTACAAAAGCAAGTGATAGTTTTGCAAAGCTATGCTAAATTATTAAATAATAAATTGATCGAAAAAGAAAACAATGATTTTCTGTAAACTTAAATTTCAAAAAAAATATCTCTTATTTACAATCTGCTACCACTCGCTCGTGGTAAAGACAAGCTATTAAGACTTTTTATCCTTGAGCTTGAAGATGGCCTTCTTAAAAGTACAATGAAAAAACTATGTGGTAAACGTTATATGTCTAAGTTAAAGTAAGATTGAATATTATTCAGCTAAATATGGTTTTACTTATTTTTTTTTAGAATTTTAGTTATTTGTGTAATTGCTACAAGACGTATGAAATTGGCTATGGTTGAAGTGTCATACTAGTGTGGTACTTGGTTGATTTCCTTTTTATAATGGATTTCTCGGTAAACAATATTTTTAGACCGTTATGCCATACAGGGATATCAACACAAATTTATATTTAATTTTTCAAGAAATCCATGAACAAGATATTATTTAACATTTCTTGTCATTCAATTTGAACGTCGAAGTCAGACATCATTTTGATTCTTCCATAATTAATTTTTTTTTTATATTTTTAATTTTAGTTTATAATTAAAAGAATAAATTAATTAATTACCCGTATTTTTTTGCAATGAAATAATTTCATTTTAATGGTATTTAATCCTAAAGTCCTAAAAAAGTATATTCATCACAGTTACAAATATTTTGTACTTTAATATTTAAAAGAAATTTAAGAAATTTTTGATTAATTTTTTTATTTATAAATGCTTATTTGAGTGCTTTATTTTATGTTTTATAGTGCTTTTTTTGATGATTTTAATTGCTATAAGTCCCGAATCCTGGTAATAATAATAATAATAACAATAATAATATAATAATAACTTTAAATTGAAACAAAAGACAAAACTTTTATTCTTTTATTGATCACGAGACATAAAAAAAAAGATTAACATCATCACAAATACACGGGTGCATAGCGCTCTGAAAAAAAAATAATCGGTCTAAATTTTTTTTTTTTTTAAAAAAGGCAAAAAAAATAAATTTAAGTTTCTAATTAAATAATTATAAGTTAAAATACAGATCTTACTTAATAATTCGGTACAGTCAATATTGTTATTTAGAAGATCATAAATAAATAAGATGTCGGACATATTACGTCTAACCTCACATGGCTGAATATAAATAGAATCTGCTACTAATGACATCGAGTCTCTAGAGATCGGTAAATGTAAGCGGAAAGCAATTGATTTTAAAAATTTATACTGAACATTTTCAACAAGTTGATTGGTCGAACCCTGACCCCATATTAATGATCCAAATTCTAAATTAGATCTAACCAGGGAGCAATAAAGTGTTTTTAGAGCTTGAATATTTTTTAATTCTCTAGTGTTTCTTAATAAAAAACCTAGCATTTGAAATGCTTTATTAATAACTATATTAGTGTTAGAAGAAAACGAAATATTACATGAAAAAAGAACACCCAAATCTCTTATTGACACCACTCGGTTAATAATATTATAATTAATTTTAAAATTGAAAACTAAAGGATCTTTTTTTTTTTTTGATAAAAAGATATAATTACATTTATTAATATTTATTGGTTATTTAAATAACTATGTAGCCTTTTACATGTTGAGATCTTCACAATAAACTAGTACGAATAATTATAGGACCCAAAAGATCTACACCACACTTATATATCGCACGAAGAACTGGTTCTACGCGGTCTGTTGGTAAATCACCCATAATGGGCTGAACTACAATTGGCTTTAAACGAAAGCATATTACACATTTTCTAAAAACATTTCGTGTAATACTACGTTCTCCTATAGGCCAATATTTTAGACGAATCGACGCTAACATTGCTTGAGGGCCGCTGTGTAAAAGACTGACGTGTTCGTGTTAAAATAACAACTTAATAAATGTGCTTTTATGTGGTAAAATAATCGGATGTCGCTGATAAATATCAATGGAAACAGCATTTTTTAAACGGCCTCCTACGCGTAAAACACCATTTTCATCCATGTAAGGTCTAAGACGAAATAATGGACTATTAGAAGAAACAAAAGGCGTAGGGTGAATTAAATTTTTTATTTCAGAAGAAAAATAATCATTTTGTACATGCTTTATCAGTCCTATGTTCGCTTGACTTAATTCACTGACCTCTAAAGACACTATTTTTCCATTCGATTTACGTACGGCATTATAAATAAAACGATAGCAATTTGCAATAACACGCAATATTTTCTGATAATTTGAGCATCTATATAATAAGGGGAAATTTTCTTGTGTTGTATTCGCGACTAAGTTAATAGAATTATAATTTTCAGTACACTTGACTTCAGGTAAAATTAAATTACTTATTGCCTCGGCCGTGGTTTGCCATTCCTCACAATCCTTTTGTGACCACTGTAGCCTTGAACGCCATAAGGACGACTTAGACAATTCTTCGGAATAAGAACCACGAGATATTTCATCCGCAGGATTACCTTGCGATTTCACGTGCGCCCACTCGGCTCATGAAGTTATTTCCTGTATTTCGCCCACCCTATGAGCGACAAAAGTTTTCCATTTAGCGGAAGATGATGAAATCCAGGCGAGAACAATATTTGAATCAGTATACAAAAATCGTTTACAATAAGCTATTTGAACATTTTTAACCACCTTTTGCGCCAATCGCGCAAATAAAAGTGCCGCACATAATTCGAGGCGTGTTAAAGACATTGTTTTTATAGGAGCTACCTTAGACTTCGCACAAATAAGACGGACAATATGTTGGCCTTGTTCATTAGTGGTGCATAAATATAACGCTGCTCCATACGCACGAATGGAACTGTTTGAGATGTGGCCCGAAGGAGACAGAATTAAAGTTAAGTTTGAAGGCGAAATAGGGTAGAAGATTGTGACCAACTCTTAAGCGGAAAAAATCAACAATAGATTGCCTCAAACTTTGTTCAATTGTACCGATTAATCATTCCATATCTCTCAAATCTTCCCTGGTCCAATCGTCTTGATCTCCCCCCCAAATCTAATTTGGATTAAATTATTGAACTTAAAATTTTGATATTCTNGGGTCAAAATATTAAAATTAAAATTTTGATATTCTAAAACATTTATTCATATTTATTATTATTTTATGTTAATTTAAATATTTTATTTACAATAGTTGTGTTTTTAGCTTACATTCAGATATATTTTTTTTAATGTGTAGTAAATTATTTTATATTAAAGCCTTTACTATTAATTATAATCGAGAAATCAGTTATATCATCTTATTTAGTCTTTTATCTCTAAAGAAATATTTTGAAAAAAATGTTTATTATGTTGTCATAGTGATTAACAATTAGTAAACATTAATAAATTTCATTGAAAAAATTAAACAATAAAAACTAAGATTTCTCATTAAATATTTATCATGGAAGTTGACTCAATACATGAAATATATCATAAAGAACTATCTCAAGATAGTATCGACACATATATTAAAGATCTTGAAGATATGATTCAAAAAAAGTAAATTCTTTTATTTTTATACATTATGTTACTTATAATATGTTATGCGAGACAATAAAATTTTATTTTTTACTAATACTTGGCAATAAATAAAAAATAATTCAGAAAATTTATTCAAAATAATTCTATGCTTATGTTTAAAAGCTAAAATTATTCATTTCATTAAATAAATTCATAGAATAAAAATATTGCCATATATTACTATCAATTCATATAAATTGATTATTTCAATTATTTAAAATTAATATTTTTTAGTGAATTACGCAATAATTCTCCTAATTGGATAGTTGCCTCATTAGATGATGTTTTTATGTGGATACAAAAACATTTAAACAGATTTTTCAAATCTGATCAAAATTTGTCAACTAAGCAGCTTAATAAAAAAAAAAAAAAAGTAAGCATCTAATAAATTTTTTTAAAGTTACTATAAATAAATTAATATTATTATAAATAATAGAGAAACAATGAGGTATACTGAAAATTGTTATTTGTATCTTCGTGCACTAATTAATTTACATTAACTTTAGATCACTAAATTAAATAATATGATAAACCACCTTAAAAATATGCATTCAACTTATGAATACAAATTGGAAAAAAAAGAAAACTTTTATCAAAATGCAATTAAAAGCTTAGAGTCAAAAATTTCAAAAATGCTTGAAGATAATAGAAAATTACAGGTAAATTATTTAAACTGAAACTTTATAAAAAAGTGTAATTAAAAATCATGTAGCTGTATTTCTTAATAGTATTTATTTATTTGTTAAGCTTTAAACTGCAATAAAATATCTCATATAAAGATATTAAAAGATAAAATACACTAATATGTACACAACAATAAATATATGAATTAAATTTTTTTAATAATAAAAATTATAATTATACAATTTTTTCAGGATTCTGTGAAATCATATTCAACCCATGCTACAATGGAGTTAGAAAAAATGAATGTTGTAATAAAAGAAATGGAAATAGATACTAAATTTAAGAAAAATCAAAAGATGCTACAAAAAGTTAGTATTTTTTTAAAATAAATAATAGGTTTTACAATAATTTTTAGGAGTTTGTACCAATAATTGAATATTAATATTTTTTAAATTATTCTTAAATGAATTGTATTACAATTTATAAATTATGTATACTTATATTATAATTTATATATAAATATTTTTTTACTAATATGTTTAACATATTATATATTAACAAAAGATAAAAATAATGTGTTATAATAAAAATTGTTATTTGTATCTTCTTGCATTAATTACTTACATTAACTTTAGATCACTAAATCAAATGATTTCATAAACCATCTTAAAAATATGC